GTGGGAGCTGTGGGGCTTGGCAGCACGTAAGGGGGGCCAGATCCTTAACCCTGCATTCCCCTCTCGGGGAGGGTCCTTCTCCACACCCCCATCCCCACCCCGAGGAGAGCAGACATGCAGGGGGAGTTAGTGTGTTATGGGGGGCTTGGATTCATGGGACGGGTCCATCCTGCCTAAGCCAGCCTGCCTAACCCTGCTGAGAGGTGGGGACACTGAGGCACGGGGATGTGCTGTATCCAGCTGATCCGAGGGCAGCGTCCCCGTCCGGTGAGCCCTCACGGTCCCGAGGGGATGCACGGAGAGGTGGGACCAGGCAGGAGGAGTGGAGGGGCAGCTTTTCCTCCCTCCATGCCCGCTGTCCCTACAGCTCATCACCTGCAGGGCTCCACGGCAGCCCAGGCAACGCCACGCCGCTGCCCACGGGTGTCCTCCCTGCCCACGGTGGGAGGTATCGCCCCAAACCAGCCTGGCAGGCTGAGTTCCACAGCCCCCACGACCCAGCAGTGCCCCCCCAGGCCCCCCAGGCCAGCAACTGTGCTCACAGAGCTCACACAGACCGACGGTGCCACGCGGGACATCCCTGTTCCATCACGATATGGAGGACGTGCAGGGCATTCCTGCTCTGTCGTGACACATCAGCACGCACTGCCCAGACCATGCAGAGCACCCCTCCTCTAGCCAGAGCTATCAGCATGCAGTATCAGCACCATGCAGGTTATCCCTCCCCTGTCGCGACATGCAGTACGGAGACCACGCGAGACCTCCCTATCCTACCGCGGTGAGTCGGGACGGCGCAACACACCCCTGCCTGCCCTATCGCGACAGCGCAGCGCGCGGCACCAGAGAAACAACACGCGGGGATCCTGAGGCCATCCCAGCCCTGCAGGACAAGCCCGTCTCCGCAGCACGCAGCGCGCTCGGGTGGCCTGGGGGTGGCACCTCGCCCCCGCCGGGCACCTGAAAGCCCTACCGGAGGCTTCCCCGGGACCTCCCGCTGGTCCCTGCCCAGGAACACCCGCGGACCGGGGTCGGGGGGAGGGGGGTAGTGCCCCTCTTTACCTCGGAAGCAGTACGCATCGTATCTGCTCTGGGCATCGGGGAATCCCGTCTGATTGCGGAAGAGGAAGATGGTTTTGACGCCCGGCAGGGCTCCTCCGCAGCGCTCCCGGGGGGTGACGATGGGGTAGCGGACGCTGCCGTCGGCCAGCCAGCCGGGGCTGCAGGCGTCCAGCCCCGCGTTCCAGGCCGCGTAGAGCTGCCCCGGGCTCGCCAGCTCCGCGCCCAGCGCCCGGCAGCGCTCCGCAGCCTCCTCCAGCGTGAACCTGGCTGGGGCCGTCTCCAAAAAGATCTCCCCTGCGAAGAGAGGAAGGAGACGCGGCGTCAGAGCTGGGGAGGAGGGCAGGGGCTGCGGGAGCCTCCTCGCCTCCTCCGCTCTCCGCACAACCCCAGGAGCTGGCGTGGAGGTGGGGGCTCCGGCGTGTGGAGGCACACCAGGGGCTGGAGGAGCCTGCCTGCGTCCCTGCCTGCGTCCCTGCCTGCATCCCTGCCTCCTGCTTCCCTGCACACGCAGGTGGCACCCACAGTGTAGGCGTGGCCGGAGCTCCCGAGCCACGTGGGATTCCTGCCCTTGCAAAACAGAGCTGAGACTTGGAAGCATCCGTGAATCACGAGTGGGACCCCACGGGAAGCAGGTCTGCACCCTGCACAGCACAATCCACGAGCAGGACATCTCCCAAGGGGACCTGCAAGCCCGGTGGGTGCTGTGGTGGGGCTTCACACTGAGGCACCTCATGCCAGCCCCCACGACCACGCCGATGTCCTTGTCCCAGCACATCATGCCCTGCACACAAAGCAACCTGTCCCTTGTCCCTGCCACCCTGCCTGGCATCACCCACACCGACCTCACAACAGCCCCTGCCACCAGTGGGGATCCCCATCAGGGCCCAAAGGAGGGACCAGCCACCCCCACGGTGGGATCAGCAGCACATGCAAAGAACGATACGAGCACAACCAACCCCAAACCACCCGGCAGCGTTCCCCACGCTCTGCTGCCAAACCAGGGCAGCTCACCATGGGCACACTCCAGCCTGGGCAGTGCCTGCTGTGAGGGAGAGAGCCCCCCTGTCCTGCCAAACCGAACCAGGGTGCTTTGGGAAGCAGCACAGCAAGTCCCCACACCCTGGAGCCAGAGCCCGAAGTTCAGGGCAGCTTTTTCCTCGGGTTCACAACCGGTTACGGGGGCGAGTTAGTGCGGGAGCGAAAGCAGGGGAGGGCAAGAGGGGGCTGGTGGCACCGCAGGCACCTGGGAGGTCCTCAGCGTAGCAGTACACATCGTACATGTCCTCTGGGTCCACCACCCCGTAGTTCCTGACCCCAGGAAAGCCATTCATGTCTCCGTAACAGGCCTCGCGGGGTGTCTGGATGGGGTACCTGGGGCAGGAGAGCACAGGGACGGGTTGGTGATTCCCAGAGGGGTGATGGGGGGAGGCAGGGGGTGCAATGCCCCCCAGGAGGCTGCGGTGCCCACCTGACGGTCTGGTCGGCGATCCAGCCGGCGTCACACTGCTCGTAGCCGCCCAGGTAGGCGGCGTAGAGCTGCTCGGGGGTGGCAATGCTGGCACCGATCCGGGCACAGGCTTCCTGAGCCTCGGCAAAGGTGTAGGCGTAGCGCCTGGAGCCCTCCCGGTAGTGAAACACCACCCCTAGGGGAGCACAAGGGCGTGGGCCAGGGCCTTCGTGGCACCCCCACCCGCGCAGGGGGGGGCGTTTGCCCAGCCAGGAGAGGGGCCCAACCCGCCCCAAACCCCTCCTCTCCCCACCTTGGAGTACCTTTGACTTTGACATGCAGGATGTCGTGGCCATCCTCGATGCCGTGCTGCACGTCGCAGCGGTAGATGCCCGAGTCGTTGGGCCGCAGCTCGGTGAGCAGGAGGGAGGCGTTGGTGTAGCGCTGGTGGAAGATGGGCAGGGAGGCGCGCAGGCGATAGTCCTCGCTCACCTTCACCCTGTCCCCCCGAGCTACCAGGATCTCCACCTCCCTGCCCTCAGAGATGAAGGTCCACTTGACCCGGGGGGTTCCCAGCACCGCCCGGCGGCCGCCCGTGCCGGCAGTGGGCTGGGGGCCAAGGTAGGTGATGAGGCAGGGGATGGTGATGTCGCCTGCCAGCACAGGGTCGAGGGCTGGCTGGCGTGGGATGGAGACCTGCAGAGCCTTGAGGTCCTCTGGGTGGGAGAAGAGAGGAGCAGTGAGCAGAGCGAGGTTGGGGCCCCCCTGAAGCCCCCACTGCGGGGCACGGACAGGGCGGGGAGTGACGCAGATGCGGCCGGCGATGCCGAGTTACCTGTGCCATCTCCGGGGCCAAACACCTGCGGGACCACCGAGGGGGCAAACACCCAGAGCAGCAGCAGCAGCGGGAGGGCTGGGGCCATGCTCTGCCCTGCGAGGGGGGAGCAAAAACCACCAGCTGTGCTTAGAATCCAAAAAAGCATCAGAAATATCCCATCCCTGTACGAGCGGGAGGGGTCAGGGAGAGCCCCCAGCCCATCTGTGCAGGGGTGGGGTGTCGGGGCACAGAGGGAGAGGTCGGGACCTGGACCCTTGGACAGTGGAGAGGAGAGGGAAGAGGAGGAAGGAGACAGCGTGAGTTCCCAGGACTACTGGCTGGGAGCCACTGGGTGCCATCCAGCCCCATCAGCCTTCCCAGGGAGCCGTGTCCTCTGGTGACAGCAGAGCCCAGCCTGGCACCGCCGGCACGGAAGGTGTGAGCCCAAATGCCAAGCAGGAAAGAGGCAGAGAGGGAGGTGAGCGAGCAAGAGGGGCACACACGGGCGCTTGTGGCCCTCCACGCGTGTCGCGGAGCCCACACGTGCGGGTGTGCACACGCGTGTGCGTGCGCTCGCGCACGTGTGTGCCCGAGAGGGAGTGCTTGTGGAGGGGGTTGAGGTCAGCGAGCTGCTGGGTGGGGGGAGGAAAGGGGGGGACAGCACACAAAGCACAGGGCAGAGGGGGAGGGAAGGAGCGGGGCGGCTTCTTTGCCATTCAGCTCACGCCGGAGGCTCCCAGCGCTCGGGCTGGGAACAGCGGGGCTGACCAAAGCAGCCATTATGTCCCAGGCCTCTCTCAGGCTGCCTGGCACAAAGGGCTCTCACCGGAGGGCTGGGGAAGCAGCGCTGAAAGGACAGCTCGGTGGCCAGCACCGCCGTCACCGGGCCCCCAGCCCTCCTCAGGGAGCAGCTCAGGGGATGCCATGGAGGGGGCTCCTGCTGCCCACGGCCTCTCGCTGCCCTGCAGAGGGGTGGGTGATGCTGGGGGTGGGGGGAGATTGCCCTGAGTGATGCACGACCCCTGATACCCCCTCATCCCTCTGCAGAGGCACCTCAGGGGGCTGGGAGCTCCTCAGCCCCCCATGCCAGGATTGCATCACAGCGTTCCCTGGGAACGGAGCACCCTCAGCCTCGGAGCAGCTTTGTGATTTATGAGCTCTTTGTGCTGCATTGATTTCAGCAGCCACAGTAGTGGCTTGGGCAGCTCCGTGGCAGATTGCTGGTTGCCAGGGCCTGCCTGATGGGAGGCTGTGCTGGTCACCTGCATCCCTCTGCAAACTGTGCTCTGGGGAGAGGGTGTGAGTACAGCCCCGAACACTGAGTGCTGTGCACTGAAACCCTGGCACCAAGGATGTCCAGGCGCCACCCACCACGGACATACAGCCCATAGAACCACTCACCATGTAAATACAGCCCCTGGCACCATCCACTATGGACATACAGCCCCTGGAACCACCCACTGTGGACATAGAGCCCATGGAACTACACACCAAGGACATACAGCCCCTGGCACCACCCACCATGGGCATACAGCCCCTGGCACCACCCACAATGGGCATACAGCCCCTGGCACCACATACTAAGGATGTCCAATCCCTGGCACCACCTACCATGGACATATAGCCCCTGTCACCACCCACCATGGGTGTACAGCCCTGACACCAAGCACCATGCAAGCACCATGCATGCACAGCCCCTGGCGCCAAGATCTGAGGACTTAAGGTCCCTGGCACCACACATCATGGATGCACATCCCTGGCACCACCCACCATGGACATACAGCCCCTGGAAACACAAACCATGGATGTGCAGACCGTGGAAACACACACCATGGACATACAACCCCTGACACCATCCACCATGGACATACAGCCCTTGGAACTACCCACCATGGACATACAGCCCTTGGAACTACCCACCATGAACATACAGCCCTGGCACCACCCACTATGGAAATACAGCCCTTGGAACCACCCACCATGGACATACAGCCCTTGGAACTACCCACCATGGACATACAGCCCCTGGAACCACCCACCATGGACATACAGCCCTTGGAACTACCCACCATGGACATACAGCCCTTGGAACCACCCACCATGGACATACAGCCCTGGCACCACCCACCATGGACATACAGCCCTTGGAACGACCCCCTATGGACATATAGCCCCTGGAACCACCCACCATGGACATACAGCCCTTGGAACGACCCCCTATGGACATATAGCCCCTGGCACCACACATCCTGAACATCCACCATCATATGCAGACCACAAACCTCCCATTCCCAGCAGGAGCTCAGCAGGGGAAGCTGAAGTTTGATCGCCCGGGGCCCGGCCGGCGGTGCCAGGGCCAAGCCAGGGGCTCTCTCCGCTCCGGACGGGTAATTTGAATGCAGCCCCGGGGCTCTGGAGTGAGGGACAAAACCCTCCTGCCGTGGCCGGGCTCCAGTGCGGGGGTTGGCTGCCACCCCCAGGGCGGCCAAGCGAGGAAGGCTTTTGTCATGGGCACCTTTTCTTCCCACCCCCAAGGCGCCGCGGCGGCGCGGGCAGCAGCCACGAAGCCCCGGGGAGGAAATCCAAGCGATAAAACTCCTCAGGAATGGGGCAGGCTGGGGTGAGCGGGTGTCTGCTCCCTTCCCGTGCCCATCCCTTGGCTGGACCAGCGTGCTGGCACCGGGAATGGGATGTGGAGAGGGTTAAACTTCCTTTCACCCTGCCCATGGGTGATGCCCTGAGATCCGGGAGTCCCATGATGGTAAGAGACTCTCAACCATCAAATCTGGGGCTTGAGGTTGGATTTTTGGCCTGGTTTTTTTTTTTTCTTTCTTCTTTTTTTCCACAGATGGAAAATCTTTTGACCCGCACGTCATGAGGGAAAAGCTGGGAGCAGGACTAGGGAAGGGCAGCCAAAAAGGTTGAAGAGGGGGAATGGCAGATGCTCAATTGTCTCTGAAACCTCAGAGCTCAGGAGATGCCAGAGGGTGTCAGAGACACAGGCATGCACGTGGCAGGGGCGGTTAACCTCCATTTCCTTGGGAAACCAGGTGGAAAATGGAGCTGAAGTCTATTTTGGGACAGGAGCAATCTTTCTTTCTCCCCTGAGCTCGGCCCTCCTTTCGGAGGCGGCCCCTCGGACGTGGGGCCAGCAGGATTTGGGGCTGCAGCACCCGGTCCAGGGCGCGATGCTGCGAGGGGAGGGGGGTCCCTTCTCATCTCCGAAGGGGGGTTTTCTCCTCCGCAGCCCCTCGTCCCCTCCACGTGACAGTTACTCATCCCGGCTCCCAAGGTGCCCTGCCAGCCCGCAGCAAGCCGGAGGAGGGGGGGAGCAGAGCGGTGGCTTTCCAGGGATGCTCAGCTGCAGAATGAGTCAGCAGCCGCCGGCACGGTCTGGCCCCGCTCCAGCCCCATCCCCGGCAATGCAAAGGGCTCCGGACACCCCGCTGCCGCCCCGGCTGCCGGGCGGACCCGCAGCCACGGTTCGCGTGTGGCTGCGCCGTGTCCGTCCATACCCCCTTCATCCCGCGGTGCTGCAAACTGGCGCTGCGGCCAGGATTCGTCCCCACCCCCGCGGGTGGGTGGGGTGCGACCCTCGGAGGGGTCCCCGGAGCGGGGCAGTGCCAAGGACATGCCAGCTCGGGGTATGCAGCGGGAAGAGCCCGGCAGCCTCTTGGCAGCAGCTGCTGGCAGAGCTTAAAGGGCCGGAAGCAGGTGGGGAGAACGGGGCGGGGAGAGGTCCCTCCAGCTGCCAGAACCCCCCACTTCCCCCCCACCCCACCCCAGCAGGGAGAAAGGGGCTCCTTGTTGCGGGGCTGGGCTGTGGGAAGGGAGGAGAGGAGTCCCTGGGGAGATGCGGTCCCGCACGGAGGGGTGGGGGCGGGAGCAGACCCCCCCCCGGAACCCTCCAGGGACACGCGAGCATGTGCACCCCCCCAGTAAGTGTGTCACACACACACACGTGAAGGTTTGCACACCCATCCCCGCTCTGGTGGGGAAACTGAGGCACCAGGTGGGTCAGAAGCGGGGAGGTGGAGGATGGGGGTTGTCCCAGACTTCAGCGCTGCTGCTCAGCTGGGACCCAACCCCGCTGCCGCTCACCAGCAAAACTCGCATCTCCCCACTCCCAGTGCAAAATCACCCGATTTCCCAGTTTTCCCAGCCTAAATCCATTCCCTGAAAAGCAGACCTAAAGTGTCCCGATCGCCCTCTCCCTTTGCCCAGAAGCTGGAAAAGGCTCCGGGCTGGGGTAGAGGGAGTTTCTCCCACCCCCTCCACGGCATCCAAAAGGAAGATCAACAGGTTCTGGGTTGGGCTGAGACGGGAGAATTCGGCGTGACGGGAGCAGCGCTCCCTGGCAGGGATGCTCAAGGGCAGCCCCTTCGTCCCGGGGACGAAATGCTCTGGCTGCGGGAGGGGAAGGGGATTGCGGCAAACAACCCCCACCTGGGGCACCCCACGGGGCACGTGGGGTTCGTACTGGGGCTGCTCGGTTCGGAAGAGCAGGGAAAACCCTGAAAAATTTTCCCCCGGCCCCTCCTGTCCCCTTCACTGGGACAGAGCCGGAGATCGGAGCCGAGAGAGCTGGGGGAGGACGAGAAGACCCGGCGGTGCCCTACAGCCACCCCAAACCCTGTGCTCATCCCCAGCCCCGCCGGAACGGGTAGCTTTGCCCCTAAACACCCCCCCCCCACCCCGCCTCCACGGGGAGTAGCGACACGGCCGGGCAGGAGCGGCTGGAGGCGGACCCGTGCCCAGCTCCGTGCCTCAGTTTCCCTTTCCACTGCTGCCCTGGCTGCAGCCTCCTCGGGACCAGGACCCCACGGGAGACTCCGCAGGACAGACGGGGAGGGCTCCCCCGTGACGGGACACCCCAGACCCATCCTGGCTCCCTGGTCCCTCTCCCAAAACGAGGGTCCCGTGGGAGCAGCT